TTTTTTTTTGCAACATTTGATTTTGAAAATATAATTAAAACTGTTAGTTAATATGTTATTAAATAACAAAGAAACGGCAAAAGAGAGAGAATGATTAGGTATTAGCAGTAGTTGTGTTTTCTTTATATTTGAACACATCACAATATTTTACTGTTCATTCTGAAATTAGATTGTGATAATGATAGATTTTAACAAACGAGCGTTTTGCCATTTTACACTTAAAGATATTTTAAGAATTATATCTTCAGTTGCTATACCCATAGCTCTTGCTATTTACACTGCAATTGGATCTCAACAACAAAAACAACAAGCTGAGAAAAAACAAAAGTTTGATTTTGAACAATCAAGAGAATTAAGACAACAAACACTTTATGATGAATTTTTAAATAATATTTATAAATTAGATAAAGATGGTTATCTCAATGACACAAAAAATCCATGGGCATTTGCAAATGCATATTATCGTGCTGCTCATCGTCAATGGGATACAATACGTAAAGCAGATGTTTTACAATTTCTTAAAGAAAAGCAATTAATTGGTAGAAATAATTGCACTGGTGGATGTAGAACAACAAAATTAGATGATATAATCCGATTAAATGAGTTAAATTTTGATAATGTACAGCTAGCAAGTCAAACTGGCGTATTAAATCAATTGAATTTACAGTGTGTGTCTTTTGATCAAGTATCAATGTCAAATGCAATATTTTCATTTGCTAGTTTAAATGGTGTATCATTTGATGGAGGACGATTAGATAAAGTGAAATTTGATGGTTCATCTTTAGCTTGTGCTAGTTTTAATGGTGTAAATCTATCGGGTGCAGATTTTGGAGACTCTGATTTGGCCGGTGCACATTTCTCAAACAGTGATTTGTCAGGAGCTAAAATAACGGAAGATCAAATAAACCAGGCATCTTTTGAGAATGTAATTATGCCAAACGCAAAGAAGAGTGAAAGTAGATCCTCAACGACAATAAAAAAACCTATAACACAAACAACAACAATGATAAAAACAAAAATGTCGACAACAACATCACCGATACCAACGTCGTCAACAACAACAACAATAACAACAACAACAATAACAACAACATCATTGTTATCATCAACAACAACGACAACATCATCATCAACAGAAACAACATCGTCATTATCAACAGAAGCAACATCATCATCAACAGAAGCAGCGGCAGCATCATGGACAACAATATCTACTGGTCAGTAATATGTCACACAAATCATAGTACCTTTTTTAGTTGCCAGATGATAAATAATTTTTAGACAACATTTCTTTTTGCATATTATTTTGAAAGATAATCATGTTATATGTTTGTAGTATTGCTGAAACAATTTCATTTACTTTTATCTTAATAAGATAGAGTTGTGTAGAATGGAAGCCAGAATCTTTTAAGGGAGAACTGAGCTTAGAGCTACAGCCACTAATGACAGAGTCATAAAATACAAAATTCATTTATTTTTAACTTTATATGCAGATGTTAACCTTTGTACGTTAGATTCAATTTTTCTATAGATGCATAAACTACCAAAGATATTAAAGGGACTACTATATTCTATAGACAAGTAAAAGAGGACAAATTTTATTTCGTCTGGACCGCTTTTGTTCAGCTTAAACTTCTTATGTAAACCTCAGAAATAATCAGTCATTCTCGTTTTATATTTCGAGGTATTCTATGTCTAGTGTTCGTTTGAGTGAAGACATTTTCCAGTGCACTCGAGTAAATCAACCTATCATATGATTGGAAGATCTTCGTTAGATTCACTTGATATTTTTAAAATAGAATACAAGTATGTTTTGTGAAGACATAATTTAGTGATTGTTGCAAAATGTTAGCTCATCTCAACATATGTATTCGTCAGAATATGTTTAGAATATCACAAAACTAGTTTTGTATTGAAAAGACATTGCAAAGAATGATGTCACATAAGAAAACGAATGCAGAAGAGATAAATGTATTAACTGAATTGAAGATTAATAACTGTGCTAATGTTGAAATAGATTAAAACATCGTTGATGACGATAAATAGAATCGGAAAAACTATGTAAGTAGTGGTATTGTAGAAGATCACAATTAGTCATAAACATAGTGGAATGATTTTAGTGGTTGATTGATTTGTTTTAATTTGAGCTGAACTGTTACAGATTAAATAAAATAAGAGAATGAAATAATGTTTTTTTGATGATAAAACCTGTAATCTAAATCTTTTTTTTGTTTAGCAGCTTGTAATAGTACATTCCTTAATCAAACTATTTACTCAGTTGGTTCAAAGCCATATTCAGTAGCAGTAGCCGATGTGAATAGCGACAACAAGCTCGATATTGTCACTACAAACAGTGGTTCAGGTACCGTCAGTGTTCTTCTTAATAAAGACAACGGCAGTTTATCTTCTCCAACTAGTTATTCAGTTGATACGGATCCCCGGTTAGTAGCAGTAGCCGATGTGAATAATGACAATAAACCCGATATTGTTACTGCAAACTTCGGCTCAAATACCATCAGTGTTCTTCTCAACATCGGCAATGGTACTTTTTCTCCTCAAATTACTTACTCAGTTGATATGGAGCCACACTCAGTAGCAATATACGATGTGAACAATGATAATAAATCTGATATTATTACTGCAAATTTCGGCTCAAATACCATCAGTGTTCTTCTCAATATCGGGAATGGTACTTTTTCTCCTCAAGTTACTTACTCAGTTGATCAAGGTCCATCCTCAGTAGCAGTAGCCGATGTGAACAGCGACAATAAACCCGATATTGTCGTCGCAAACTATAAAGCAAATACCACTAGTGTTCTTCTCAATACAGGCAATGGTACGTTTTCTCCTCAGGTTACTTATTCGGTTGGTTTACTACCATATGCAGTAGTAGTTGCTAATGTGAATAACGACGATAAAATCGATTTTGTTACTGTAAATGATGAGAATAACACCGTCAGTGTTCTTCTCAACATCGGCAACGGCACTTTTTCTCCTCAAGTTACTCACTCAGTTGGTACGAATCCACGGTCAATAGCGGTAGCCGATGTGAACAGCGACGATAAACCCGATATTATCACTGCAAATTTCGGCTCAAACACCATCAGTATTCTTCTCAAGACAGCCGACGGCACTTTTTCTCCTCAAACTACTTGCGCAGTTGGTTCACAACCACATTCAGTAGCAGTAGCTGATGTGAACAATGACAGTAAACCCGATATTATCGTCGCAAACCATGGTGAAAACACCATCGGTGTCCTCATACACTGTTAAAATTTATTTCTTCATCATACTCAACATCCTTATTAACATTTCTTTACGCTACCAACAACATTATCCCATAATTAACCACTTAACAATATAGCACGAATGACAATGTTCCTTTGACACTAAAACTTTTCCATTATCAATCTTTCACTGGAACTCATTAATGCTTATATTTTTAGCTTCTTGTACTGTTTTATTTTGCTTAAATCAATGGACAATAAACTGATCCTATCTTTTGACGAAAAGAGTAGTCTAAGTACACGAATGAGAAACTAATGAGAAATGTCAACTATAAACCATCTTAAGGGGTATAGGTGGGTGATCAATACAGTAGTGAGATCCACACCCGCACTCGCAAAATATATCCAAATTTAAGATTGATTAACAAATGGATTCAGATCATGGATTATGTGAAAATATAATGAATATAAATTATAGAATAATAAGATTTGTATTAAAATATGCAACATTTTGAAGAATTCAATTTGTTGAAATTTCAAAGCTTTTTCAAAGATGTGGGTAACTGTGGATCTTGAATGGGCGAGAGTGTCCATTGTTCACCTGTATCCACATCCTCAATAAATACGAGTCGATATATTGAGTTGGATTTTCTTCAAATTTGTCAGACAAGATTCTTCCTTCAAGTTATTAGAATCATGAACAACTTGTACCAGATTTCTAAAATTGATAGTTATCTATTCTTACCTATTGCTAATACATTACTTTAACAAAAATTTATTCTGTATTCATTTTATAATACTTCATACAACTATAAAAACAAATTCATAATAAATAAATGTCAATGATCAGAAGATCGTCCTACAATTATAACTAAATCTGTCAGACTGTTATTTCGTTTACACAAGAATTTAACTGTTTCAAAATTTAAAGATAAAGAATTATTCTTTATTTCTCTATAACAATAAATCTAAAAAATAAACTCCTTTTCTATAAACTACTATCAATAACATTAACTAAATTAGTTTCATATTTGACAGTTTTATTAAATATAATTTTTACTTCATGTAAGAATAATGTTTTTCAAAAAATAACAGCCACATAAAAAACAAGGTTATAAAAATATTGAAATAATAACTAAATCTCTTATTTGCTTTCCAAAAAATGTGTGTAATGAATAAATACTTATTAAGTAAATATAAATCTATTCACATAATATTTTCTTTTACCTTTGCCAATCAAACAACTTCATATAACTGATGAGGTTTTAAACCTCGATGGAAGAAATATCATAATTTCAGTGATGATGAAAGAAAAAAAAGAGAACAGTTTTTTCTTCTATAAGTTACCTATACAAAATGAATATTTGAATGAATAAATCAATCAAAAATGAAAGGAATGTATTTTTGATTTCAAGAACATGAATAAATGTTGAGTCAAACAGCCTTAGGCTCTTCCAGCTGAAAGAAAATAGTAAAAAAAATCATTCATTACTGTGCCTACTTTATTTTTTTTTCGTCGATCACATAAAAAATAATGCGATCTATCATTGTCTTGTTTTTTCATTATATCTCTTTCATCTGTAAAAGGTTTGTTAGATTATCATTTTCTATTTGACTCTCTCTTATAATATAAACGAATTCTATAGGACAGACTACACAACTTCCTAATTATTCTTGTAGTGAAAATAATGTTTCTATTCAGTTTACATTATCTTCATTGTCTCATTCCGCTTCGAATCCAACATCAAACTGTTTTGTACAACAATGTAATGCAAACTTAACTAATAATAATAACGATGATTGCCGTTCATCATCAACACCTTGTTTTGATTATCGAACAATAAATAATATTAGTTATTGTGCACCTGCTATTTTATGTTCAATATTAGAAACATGTGATAATATTACACAAACATGTTCATCTAATAATTCAATATGTGTTATTAATTCATGTTGTTCACCACAAGCAGTATGTTTACCATTCTTAGCAACATTTATGTGTAAAACAGGTACTAATACGTATAGCAATTTATTTGTATAAAATCTCTGTCAAGTAGTACTTTTCGCATCAGACAGCAAGGTGATATAAATGAATAGATTGAAGTATAAAAGTCGTTATCATAAATCGTCTCAATATCCTTCAAGTACAGCTCGGAAAATTTATAAGGAATCGAAAAACATCTTTTATATATTTGGTTGAGATAATAGTGGAAATAAAAAATATAAAATACTGAAGATGTGGTTATGCTATGTGAAAAGACTTTGTGCAATAAATTTAACTATCATTCTCAACCTTTAATGTTGTATAGTCTAAATATATAAAAATATAACTTCTAGGATGGTTTTCTACTCCCAATATAACTGATGCACGAGAGTATCACACAGCATCTGTATTGTCAAATGGAAAAGTATTAATTACTGGTGGAAGTAGTATTGGTCGTGATTTAAATAGTGCTGAGCTGTATGATCCGTCAACAGGTACATGGACAACTACTAATAACATGA